AAATAATTTGAATAACGATTTTTAAAAAATATATATTTAAGTAATGCGATTAATTCTACTAATAAATAGAATAAAGAAAATACAAAGTTATCTTACAAATTAAATGATTCAAAAATACATTTTTCATTTTAAAATTGAATAATATTTGTATTTAATAATTAATAAAATATGATAATATTTCAAATATAGAATTGAAATACTGTATAGATGCTGAATGAGGAAAAATTATTTAAAATAGTTAATAATTATGACATTTTTAAATTCTTTTGTTTATTTAGAATTTAGAAATGAATTGTTAATAAATTACAGTTTATATTTTCTTTCCTTCAAACAATTTATTTAACATAACATTTCTTTTTAAAATTTTTAATAGTGCTGAGTATTGTATTCAATACTTTTTCTCCATCTTTTATTACAGTAATTAAGGAGATGACGACTTCAACTTTTTATATTTTAAATATTTAATCTTAAAGTAAGTTTTATAAATAATTTATTCATGTCATTAATGTACTTCAATTATTTTTTTTTATTAGCAATAAGTCTCAAAAACTGAGTTTTTCTATAATAATGGATGCTATAAGTTAATTATATACTAGCTCTATTCGTAAATAATTTATTTAATTTGTTTAAGAACTTTATTAAAAATTAAAAAGGTTTCAAACATAGTCTATGTTGAATGCTCAAATTATTTTTGAAAAATACTAAATTTTAAGTCAATATATTTATTATTTTAAATATTTTAAACAATTTTATATATGATTTGTCATCTGCATCTCTTTCAGAATTGAATAATAATCTTAATGACGAAATAATAATAATAAATTCTTTAAATAAGTTGTATTACATATGTATTTAATAGCTCTAATTGATGTTTAAATGTAAATATATTTGAATTTAATTGTTATGATTTTAAATACAAAAATTTATAAATAAAATACTTATTTTTAGTAAGTTTATTTAACCATGTCAGAAATGTTTTCTAAATAAAAAGTAACCTATACAGGATGTTTCTTGACTCTGGAACTACAGAAGTTACGTTTATCTTTGGTTATTCTTTTACATGTAAATCATGGCGCTAAGTAAGAAGGAATGAATTCAAGCTATTTTGATGGTAGGGATCCGCAGTCAGCGTTAAATTGCCAAAAAGTTTAACAGGGTGCATCCAGGTTGTATGTGATTGATGGAAAATCTAAATGCAACCTGTTAAACTCTGACGGCGAATCCACACCATCAAAATAACTTGTATTCACTCCTCCTTAGGGCATGTTTAATAAGTCTAGAACCATAAGAGTTACGTTGATATTTGTTTATTCTTTCACATTTATATGTAAAAGAACAAACAAATATCAACGTAACTCTTATGATTCTAGACTTATGGGATACACTGTATATAAGTGGCATTTTAAAATATCGAATTCAATATTAATATTAAATTATATAATTGATTCGGTCACTTGTGATCTGGTCAGTAACTTTAAAATGAAGTATTTTGATTTTTTTGAGGGAAACTACTTAAATATTGAACTCAAAACAATAATAACAGAATTCTTGAGTAATATCTAATAGGCCCTATGTGGTGTTTGGTGCATGAGAACTAAGATTAGATAAACCGAATAAAATACAAATTACAGTTATATTACGAGCAATCTAATCATGCAATAATATAAATGTTTCTACTTTTTTTTAATTTTGAGTATTCAAATTGGTTTTTATATAAATATAAAGCGAATATATTTGATTTATATTTACGAGATTTATTTTGTATATTGTAAATCATATTTATCATGGAGAATTAAGCGAAAAACATTCTGTTTCATTACAGACAAACAAAAACATAGTGATTATGAATGATGTACGAAGAAAGTACGAAGAAAGTATTTATTTCGTACGAAGAAAGTACATTTACGAAGAAAGAATATTTATTTAGTACGAAGAAAGAATATTTATTTCGTACAATATGTTTGTATCCAAAGGAAAAAATAACAGAAAATAGAAAAATTTATTCATATAAAATTGAATAAACTGGATGAAAATTAGAGACTGATATACGGCGAAAAATGTATAAGCAATTATTTGGTAATACGATCTTAAATAAGATATTAAATGCAATCAAAACATATTCTAAAGAATTGTATTTAGACTAATTATTATTTAAATTTTATACTTCTGAATCTGAAAAATTTGTAAGTCAAACTAAAGATAAATTGTAATACTCTGAAACTATAGGAAACTGTGCAAAAGATTTTGTCTCTTGCTTAAAACCCAACCAATTATTTTCTGATGGATTTTTTTAATGAGTAGGTTCTTTTGGAAAAAATCGTTTCAATAATTTTTTACACGTAATTCTACGGGATAAATAACAACTTTATTTGAACATATATCCAAGGAACTTTTGGAAGATCTAAGGAAACTTTGATCTTTTCTTGTTTTTTTTCCCAGTAAACTGAAAAATTCATCCTATGAAAGCCTAAAATATAAGCCTAAGAATTAATTATAAATATTTTACGTCCTTTACAATACTTAAAGTAAAAACGAATAAGGTCGGTGTACGGGTTAAATGTAATTTAATAAATTACAAATATAATTTTTTNTTAACACAAATAAAGTTTCCGTTTTAATTATAAATGGATTTATATAAAAAGTAGATTATTTTTTTTAGAATTTCACTATATTAAAAATTTTTTATTCGAAATTTCAATTCAAAATCACATTTTAATTAATTGTCATTCAGATTGAACTCCATTAACATATATTTTCTTAAAATAAAGAGGGTTGGAAGTTGATATATGATATTTCACCTTTTGTTCTTATCGCAATATTCGTCGTTAACAAAAAAATACCACTTAAGAGTAAATGTAGTTTGATAGCACTTTGAGCAGTCTTAATTACAGAAACAGAGAAATAAATCAAGAGTCAAATGGGGAAGAAACTTTTTTTAGAGCTTTGTTCTACTTTACCTATATCTTTTATGATACCAGGCTTATAGGAAATTTTCCTATACATTTAATGGTTCGATTTAATGTTATTTAATCGCACAAGAATTTATAAATTACAATTCGAATCTTAAGAATGAATTTTAAGATTTCTCATTTATTATAATTACTTTTTGTACAATAAAATTTCAGAAGTGTACTTAAATCACTTATAATAATAGTTATAGAAAGATCTTAAATATTTAAAACAGTAATAATTATGTACTTTAAATAGAAAATTTTTTAATTTGAATTATAATTATTAAATAAAAACATTACTAAATAACCAGCTTAAGCTTTATTTGCCATTATTTAAAAGTATCTATTTTAAGAACCTACTGGAAGAGTAACGATTCTTTAATAATACAACCGCGTTATTGAGGTAATAACTCGATACTCTTTCCGGGGTCAAGAAATGCCATTGATATTCTTCGAACACTGCATCTTAGTTTATCCAGCGCATATATATTCGACATAGCAGAAAAACAAGATAGGTCTACAGAGAAAAAGCTGCCGGCGGCTTTTAATCTATAAACAGATATTGCGAGATAGTTTACTAAAATAATCGGTAAAAAAAAATTCCACAAGAAATATTCTATAAGAAGCTTGTTATAATAATAATAAAGAATGTCTACTAAAAAATGCAACAACTTTTTTGTATTTTTAAACATGATATTAACGATTATTTCTGTTATTTTAATGAGGATCATTTAAAAAACTACGATCTTAGCAACCTTCAATAATACCAATTCAAAAGAATCGGCAATGTTTGTTTTATGACATATATCAGGCGAGCATTTAGAAGTTCCCCGGAGCTTCTATTGAAGGTATAATTTGGGGGGACTGATTATTTTAATTCCATTAAACTAGCGAGGCAAAAATATGGAAGAAACTTATTGGCATTGCAATCACGTTCGTCTGAAAGGAGAAACATTGAATTGCTCTGAATGGTAATGTCCCGTTATTTATCGTTCGGCCAGCGTGTAATTTATAATTCAATATGACGTTAAAATGATAAAGTATTTACCAGTTATCTACCAAATCTACTTTATGTTTGAAGAACAGGGAGAATTTTTTCTAGAAATGAAACTTCTCGTTTGATTTGTGAAAATATTCGAATAGAAACTAATCTTTATAAGTGACTTCTCGGTTCAAAATAAAATATTTAAAATCCGTAATATTCTGTTACGAATTTTTTTTTTTTTTTTTTTTGGCAAAAACACGATTTTGTTTAATTACCTGGCGTATAGTCAAAATCTCAATTATTATGATTCTATTCTAGAATAAATGATAATTAATGATTAATGGTATTTTGTTATTGAATTCGAAACAAATTTATTTTCGAAAATAACTTTAAACACAAAGAACAGAAATTCCTGTAATAAATATAAAGTAAAAATACAGTCGAACTTTCATAAAGAGCCACCTGCCAACAACGGCCACTTGTAAATAGCGGCAAGATTTTCAGGAAGTTTTATTTTTATGAGTAAAAATGCGTAGCGTACAAAATAACCTATAAACAACGACCATCGTTTCCCTCAGTGGTCGTTGTTCAGAGGTTTGACTGTAGTAAATAAAATAAGACATATTTACAGTGGCGCGTTATCCTATGGGTAAAAGGGAAAATTTCCTGTGTCTCCATCCACAGTGGGCCCCAAACCAATCTTTTATAAGAAAATATTTCCCTCAAAAAATTCCTTGGAAAAAATTCAAATCTATTTATTAGTATTTTAAAGTCTAATTTAAAGCTATATATTTGATATGAAGAACGATTTCACAACTGTACTATTTTGCAAATGGTAAAGTAATATAGAAAGAACTGGTGATGAATAGAGTTTAAATTCAAAATATATTATCGCTTTACAACGAAATAGTTCGAAAAATCAAATTTAAAATAAATAAATAAATAATAATTCATAAATCAATTTATAAACATAATACTTTGTGGGCCTATTTTAATTCGAAAAACTTTATTTATTATATAACGTGTAATCACAATCAAATAGAATATTTATTAAAAGAACTTACAGTCTATGTGACATTTCCTTAATTTCTGTACATCTTGTCCGTGACATAAAGTATACATATTTTTACCAGTCAGTTCTTCAGCTGTGTAGTCAAATAATTCTGAAACTCTGTAAGAGAAAAAATAGATAATTCTTACGTTACTACAATAAAGAAATGACTAATTGAAAATATATGAAAAATTATTGATTTTAAAGATCGTTTAAATGAAAATAAAATAATAAAATATCCTGCCTGGGTTCACAATGAGCAATTCTGAAGTCAAAAGTCAGCCTTGTCACAAACATATCATTTTCCAACCTGACTTCATTGACTGAGGGAGGAGGTAGAGCAATGGCCAAACCAACCATACCCATTACATTGGGTGGTTGTTTCCTGCTGTGTGAGAATGTATATTGAGGTCGAAGGTGACACAAGACTAGCACCACCTATAAAAACCATATACAGTAATTCTTTAAATAATAATAATACATTTACATAAGTTGATTTAAGAAATTCAAAACCATTTCCATTTTAAATATATTATTATGTATTTACTAATGGAAAAATAAATTATATTAACTAGTTTAACTTTAAAAACTTATTTTAGTTATATATATTTTTTAGTAATTTAATTTAAATGTGTAATTTTAGTAACAATATCTTAAAAATCTGCGATAGAAATCATTTTATATAATAAAGACAATGCATTTCAATATCCTTTATACATTCATAATTGGCATATATTTTGATTTTAAAAGGAAAAGATTGATCTGTTTCACGTTGAATCGCATAAGCAATTACACGGCATTCATTAAAAATTGTACAAACAATTACATTATTCAGATTTAAATATTTATTCTTTGTTTGCATTTCGCTGTCAATATTGTTAAATGTTAGCCTATGATAATAATGTACTTAAGTATTTTCGGTAATAAATTATCAATGTGTATGTTTTCCTTGTCGAATTTAAAGGAAATTTAAAGGAAAATATGACTTATGATTATTTTTTTATAATTTACATTTGAAATTTCCTGTAATTTACTCTTTGGAGCCATGAGTACTTATTGAATTTATGAAAATTTAAGGCTATAAAAATGAAAAATTAAGTTATTTTCGGAAGAAAGCTTTTTACTTGATTTCATATTTTAAATTATCTAGAATGGACTTCAACTTATTAAGTCAGTATTGTTAAAAAAAATTCATTTAATAATTTAATTTTTTTAATTATTTTAACACAAATAAAGTTTCCGTTTTAATTATAAATGGATTTATATAAAAAGTAGATTATTTTTTTTAGAATTTCACTATATTAAAAATTTTTTATTCGAAATTTCAATTCAAAATCACATTTTAATTAATTGTCATTCAGATTGAACTCCATTAACATATATTTTCTTAAAATAAAGAGGGTTGGAAGTTGATATATGATATTGCACCTTTTGTTCTTATCGCAATATTCGTCGTTAACAAAAAAATACCACTTAAGAGTAAATGTAGTTTGATAGCACTTTGAGCAGTCTTAATTACAGAAACAGAGAAATAAATCAAGAGTCAAATGGGGAAGAAACTTTTTTTAGAGCTTTGTTCTACTTTACCTATATCTTTTATGATACCAGGCTTATAGGAAATTTTCCTATACATTTAATGGTTCGATTTAATGTTATTTAATCGCACAAGAATTTATAAATTACAATTCGAATCTTAAGAATGAATTTTAAGATTTCTCATTTATTATAATTACTTTTTGTACAATAAAATTTCAGAAGTGTACTTAAATCACTTATAATAATAGTTATAGAAAGATCTTAAATATTTAAAACAGTAATAATTATGTACTTTAAATAGAAAATTTTTTAATTTGAATTATAATTATTAAATAAAAACATTACTAAATAACCAGCTTAAGCTTTATTTGCCATTATTTAAAAGTATCTATTTTAAGAACCTACTGGAAGAGTAACGATTCTTTAATAATACAACCGCGTTATTGAGGTAATAACTCGATACTCTTTCCGGGGTCAAGAAATGCCATTGATATTCTTCGAACACTGCATCTTAGTTTATCCAGCGCATATATATTCGACATAGCAGAAAAACAAGATAGGTCTACAGAGAAAAAGCTGCCGGCGGCTTTTAATCTATAAACAGATATTGCGAGATAGTTTACTAAAATAATCGGTAAAAAAAAATTCCACAAGAAATATTCTATAAGAAGCTTGTTATAATAATAATAAAGAATGTCTACTAAAAAATGCAACAACTTTTTTGTATTTTTAAACATGATATTAACGATTATTTCTGTTATTTTAATGAGGATCATTTAAAAAACTACGATCTTAGCAACCTTCAATAATACCAATTCAAAAGAATCGGCAATGTTTGTTTTATGACATATATCAGGCGAGCATTTAGAAGTTCCCCGGAGCTTCTATTGAAGGTATAATTTGGGGGGACTGATTATTTTAATTCCATTAAACTAGCGAGGCAAAAATATGGAAGAAACTTATTGGCATTGCAATCACGTTCGTCTGAAAGGAGAAACATTGAATTGCTCTGAATGGTAATGTCCCGTTATTTATCGTTCGGCCAGCGTGTAATTTATAATTCAATATGACGTTAAAATGATAAAGTATTTACCAGTTATCTACCAAATCTACTTTATGTTTGAAGAACAGGGAGAATTTTTTCTAGAAATGAAACTTCTCGTTTGATTTGTGAAAATATTCGAATAGAAACTAATCTTTATAAGTGACTTCTCGGTTCAAAATAAAATATTTAAAATCCGTAATATTCTGTTACGAATTTTTTTTTTTTTTTTTTTGGCAAAAACACGATTTTGTTTAATTACCTGGCGTATAGTCAAAATCTCAATTATTATGATTCAAGTTAAGGCTATTTCACAAATCAGTTGTTAGAAAAATTTGGCTTTAAACTTAGAAAAAAATTAGTCAAAAAGTAGGGCAAACGTTTTTATTTTTCATTTTTAACTCTAATAATCAATATTGAAAATGGTTCTAGTCTTTATTTAAATCCTAATATTTAATTTTCAATGTATCAAAATATTTTCGTTTAAATTATTCTGCAAAATCCTAAGACGTACAGAATTAATTTTGATAAAGCAATTGCAGATATCCTAATTAAAATTTTTATATATTTTGAGAATATTCTTAAATACAAAGCATTAAAACATTGAGTTTAAAAGAGAGATTGATTCCATAAAAGACTTACTCAATCTTATCACAGATTATGATGAATTTAAATTGATTTATGAAGTGAAATTTTATCTCTGATGATTACATTTGGAGTCGAGAATAGACCTATTTGTTATTTCCAATATGTTTCTCTATAATTCACATAAATAAAAAGACAATATGCAAGTCAAAAATATGTATAAGACTTTTTATATATAAAATAGGCCAGACAGAAAATAAAGAAAAACTGAAATGCTCATAAAATAGTCATGGCAATTCCCATTCAGTTTGGAAGCAATTTTTACTTCTAATGCAATTGCACCCATCTAATTACCATTCACTCTTTTCTGAGTGTTCAACCAAGAAGGGTAGCAACCCTCTAGTCTCTCGAGTACTGCTTACATTTAAAGCGAGGGGATGATCGGTGCCTCTGTAGTGATAAAAATCGAGTGCAAAATCGTTTACGTTCCCTTCACTCTCTATAAGTCGTGGCAAAACGGCGTTACATCTATTACTAAAAACTAATTTTCTGTCAAGGTTATTTGAATGCCATTTTACCTCTTTAATGCATCTCTGCGTAATGAGGCCACATATAGATTTGTTTAAAAATTCTATCTGATGAAGCACGTCGACTGGTTTTTCTTTTAATTCTTTAAGTTTGGTTTTTAAGAAAAGGTCTATCGGCTAATGGATAGCAGAGTGAAAAGCATTAAGGAATACCTGCTTAGTGAAATTTCGACTAGGTAATTTTTTAAATGAATGATTTATTAAATATTTTTTATTTGAAAACTGTACACTGAATGCACAGTATCTTCGTCAGTTTTGTATTTTCAGTAGCGCGTTATCCTATGGACAAAAAAGAGAGTAACTGCGTGGGGCTCCACCTGAAACCAATGTTTTATAAACTCATTAGTGTAATAAGAATATCGAAATTTAAATTTAGGCTATATCTGGGACCCTAGATTTTCGGTCAGGCGCAGGGTCCGCATCCTGCGCCTTAAAAAACGAACGAGGAAACCTGGGAGAATTCACCAAAATCTCCCGAAAAAAAATGTTTGAAATCAACGCTGTACATAGGGTCTGTAATTCATATTTGCCTGGGGTATCGTGAATCTATAACGCGGCACTGTATATTTTTTAAATCCTTTTCCTCGTAGAACAAATCAACAAATCACCAATCTCCTTCAATCATTCTAATTTACGGTGACAGAAATCAAATCCAAAAGATGGAAAATTAAGTCAGTTTTATGAGTCCATTCCTTGCATTTAAGATTTTGAAAACCCCCAAAGGCAACAATTCCCCGAGCACTGTAGTAACAATCAGAAAAGGCAAACGTTAACAACTTTTCCTGGACATAACATACTGTTTAATGAGATCTGAGAAAACTCCCAACGCGACTTGCAATCGCCACACACACCAGATGAAGAGTAATGAGGAAGTGTGGACCTTACTAGTCTGTGTAAATCTCCGTAGTTAGTATCCTAATTGCTAGACAACAGACCACTCGTCCGTATACACTCCCTATTGATAATTACAATCAATTAAACAATGCTGCAAAGTGAAACAAGTTGGCGAAACTGTTGAACGCTTTCAACGATTTCGGGATAATCCGAGTTTCGGAACTTTTACGGCTGATAAGGTAAGAATCAAACGATTCGAGAGATTGGTCGTAAAACGTCTCTTCTTTTCTATCCAATCCCTTATACTTTACTTACCCTATAACCTGAAGACTTGAAATGGCAACCACGTTTCGTCAGAGTAGATTTCATTCGAATACAAAACGACCTTTCAAAACCTTTGTAGGGTGTTGTGTTGTTCAATGTCATAACAGGAGCTGATTATAAAAATAGTAAATTTATAAAATTAATCTTTATAATATATAATTTAATTCAATCATAAAACTTAAGTTATTCTTTACGTTTGCAAGTACTGTATTGGAAGATTAATGTTAAGTGTTTGTTTTGTGCTGCCATCTAGAGAATGAAATCTGAAGTTTAATAAACACACCTCTGATTTTCAGAAGTACTTTGTCACGAAAACTTTCATTATTTTTTTAAAATAATTTACATTTTGTGCCGGATAAAAATTTTTAATTTTTACTGGCATAAACTTTAATGACTTTTATTTTTAGTATCTTAAAGGAATTTATTTATTAACATATCTGATTGAATATCTTTTAAGGATTTATCTACAATTTTCTGTAAAGAATTATAATTAATTAACTTAATAAATATTTATAGTCAATTCCTTTTAT